CTTCACGGCATCCTCATTCCGCGGCATTCCCCCTTCCCGCCCCCCCCCCCTTTCTTCCTTTTGTTCTCACTGGTATGCATTCAACGGACGGTAAGAGTATCTTAGTAAAGCCATAAATGAAGTTGAAGGTACAGAAAAAAAACTTGTAACATACAATACAAAAATTTTTTTTGTCTCTTACCAAATATATTTTCAATGATTTGAGCGGTTGCATCCTGTATTCCGTGTTCCGTAAGTGGTACATCTTCCGCTTCCAGCTTTATCCGTTCATTCTCTGGCATTGATAAATTCCAACTTTGAAATTTCTTCAAAGCAGCACAACGATCGAAACCATTCGGTGCTGTAACTGGACATTCCGGATCCAGCGGATCGATGCACCAGCGATCCAAATAAGCTGATCCAATACCTGCCTATAAATACAAGTCATCAAAAAATAACATAAGTCATCACAGTAAAGTCAATCAAAAAAAAAAAAATCAAAACAGAGTCAAAAGCTCCTCCGTATTCGCTTTTTGCAGAAGAGACAGGAATGAGGAATTAGACCGAGTGGTAGCAGATGCCAATAACAACTACAGAGTGGCAAGACTGGCGACAACACCCTCTTTTAAGATTTGTTTACAAGTAAGCTGATGGCGAGTTTGACTCTCTGGCAAATGCCAGTATTAATTTACTATCGAAACGAATGAACGAATTGTACAGGGATTGATTACTTATTGGCGAATTCGAATCTTCACGGTGTTACCCGCCACCCCCTCTCCCCGTGTGCCAATAGACTGAATTAAAATCATAATAAATCGAGATAAAAGCTAACTCATTTTCAAAGCTATCTTATGAATATTTATAATTAATCAAGCAAAAAGAAATAATCTAAACTAAACAGTGCTACAAAAACGAATTCATTTACCCGTTCAAAAATATTGAAAATAGTGCCGAGATCGAAAAGTGTTCCCACTTCCTTCAGTACTGCTGATGGATCCAGATTTCTCCATGTTATATTGCCTTTTGGAAGTGAACTTATGAATGCTTGTGCATCTGGCCTGAAAAAAAATCATTTCACTTTTTTCATTCGTTCTTGATTTAGAAAAGTTGACCGAGCCATTGGTCACTAGTTTACGAAGACCACTAAGGTTCTTCGTAATTGCTGATAAAAAAAACCTAAAACGGCATCCTAAAGGCAATTCATCCCTGATAAGTTAAAAATCATCACATATATTGATAATTTTTACCTTCCAGTTATTTTCAACCGTAATTTTGAAAAGGCAGAAATGCCGGGAATAGAAGCAGAACGAGTCATATGGCAAGAATGAGAGACAGCAGATGGACGAAACGAATAGTTCAGTGCTAGCCAAGATATGTTAAGAAAACAACAGAAAGACCACTTGCACGCCACTCCTATCTACTCAGCTGTTGATGCGGAAAGCATAATATCGATTTTTAGATTATGAATTAACGATTTTTAGAGTATGAATTATTAGACTCACTCAAGTATTTTTGGATTACGACTTTTATGAAACAGACATACCCAAAATTGAGCGGTGGTGATGGTCCAAGTGGCTTCGATCCTTCCCAGAAACAATCAATGGGTGTAATCCAAATGCACGGTATTAATCGTTCCAGCAATTTTGTCAATAATGATGTCAACGGTCCTTGAGGTAATTGTGGTGAAGGTGGTTTAAAGCATATATCTGATAAAGTCCAATTCCTGGAAAAAAAAAACGAAACTAAATACTCCTAAAATTATTTAGGAAAAAATTAACGAAAACAGCAATTATGTTTAAATAAAATGATTATGTACCGGGACACAAACAATTAAACATTAAATAATTGAATTGAAATAATTAATCGTACAATTAAATATTATAATCAGATTATATCAAATAACAAATAACCGTGCAAATTTTAACACACACACACGCAATGAAGTAATATTATGTACATATTTAATTAAATATGCAAATAATTATGTGCAATTAAATAACGTCTCTGTATATAATTAATAAAAATATTTGCATATACTTAAATTAAATGATAAATAATTATACAAAAAAAACACAAATAATAATTATATACATATATGTACAAGTATATGTGTAACTATTTCATAAATGTACATATATGCGCATAACTGTTACAATCATGTATATAATTACTATAAATATATGTGTGTTTAACGATTATTTGCATAATTAAGCATTAGTTAAAAACCATCATAATTAAATTAAATAATAAATAATTATGTAGGAAAAACACAAAATAATATAATTGCACATATTCGTACACGTTTTTACACAATTATTCATTATTATATATACATATGGAATTTTGTGATGAAATACAGGCAGTCTTTGAACATTCACACCAAACAGACAAGTTACTGGTACATTATGCACTGTTAGCTTCGGCATACATAACAGTACCGGTAATCTTCACCCATTCCGACAAGTGGCGTTCAGTTCTTCTTTGAATGTTACAGGTTTAAAGGAATAGCAGGAAGGCCAACGAAGCGCTGAAACAAATCCAATAACTTTGGAGTGACTCTGGTTGCGGAAAGCACAAAAAGACCATAATCGAAGAGGATGTTACCAGCCGAAGTTACCAGCCATAAATTAATAGTTTTTCCAGGAGTCCAGGCAAAGGCGGGTCCAGGACGGCCTCCTGGAAAGGAGGGGAGGAAAAGGTCTCGAATGGAGCTTCTACCAGTGACTAGCAGCCTCCCAGAGAGGGGAGGAGGAGGGAGGGAAACCGGCGGTGCGGAAGAGATAAAAGAGTGTTCTTCAGTTTTACCTTTAGATCCAGACTTTTGTAGCACTGGTACCTGTGCCCATCGCCCAACCCCCTCCCCCCTTCTCTCCCGGATCCACCTATGAATTCAGGTGACGATACGTAAGCGTCAGTGAAGCATTAGCATTAGCACTGTCGGCTTTTTGTTCACACATATATTAACTTGTATTTCATCCTCTATCGCACTTTTTTATTTTTTGAGTTTTCGTAATTGCCATTTTGGGCCCGCAAAATGACTATGTTAGGCCAAGATGTGCATGTGAGAGCATTCCAGTAACATCATTAACACTGAATTTACCCACTGTCCGAGCGGTTTTGGTATTCTTTTTTATATCAATTACCGATTTGTCTATCCTAAAAACAAGTTATAAGTACTGATAAATTTTGAAACGACACAGTGATGCAGCAGTCACCCAAAATAACCGGCTTAGAGCGCTCCGTTGTTCAAATCCTGTCCGCAAGAAAACCAGTCCCTTAGAGTGTCTTTCGTTTGTCGGTGTAAAGAATTGGTAATATGAAATGCCTACGTTAACTATACATACCCAAATAACTATACCTCAATTTGCTTTCAGACAAACTTCTGCAGACAGCTCGGTGGCTACGATCGGTAAAAAAAAAGAAAATTTTTTTCGGGTAAAGACCAGTTTTTTGCGCACGCATCATGAGTTTTAAAAATCACTCAGTAATTAGCAAAAAATAAGAAAAAAAAACTCACTCTTTGCACATTTCCATTAATAATAGCAATAAAAATGATAATAATATTAATGATACAAAACAAAACATAATGCTATGTTTTGTTAATAATACGAGACAATAAAAATACAAAACATAATAATACAAAACATAATAATAATATTGATAATGGCAACGAAATACTGATAACAGTGGTAACAGCAGTAACATTAACAGTAATAATAATAATAATGATAATAATAACGATAACAATAATGATAACAATAATAACAGTAATAACAATGACAATAATAATAACAATAATAATAATAGTAATGACAGTAATAATAATGATAAAAATGGTGATAATAATAATGACAATAGCAGTAAAAATGATAATAATGATAATAATAGTGATAATAATAACGATAATAGTAGTGACAAATAATAATAACGACAATAATAATGATAATAATAAATGCAATAATAATAACGATAACAATAATGATAACGGCAAATATAATAATAATAATACTAATAATGATAATGATAATAATAATGATGACAATAGTAAATGCCAGAATTTACAAAAATCGCAAGAAAAAACTCACTCGCCAAACATTTCCACATGAAATTTCGCGACCTCTTCCATAATTTGGACATGTTTCAGTAAAGATTCTTTCGTTAAAGCATTTGTTCCTTTCACTGCAGGAGTTTGTATAAGGACCTGCATAGAAACTGGGGCATAAATTAATCAGCAAAAAAAAAAAATCATTTTGTTTAACGCAAAAGTATAAATACTGAGCATTCGAGCTGTTTTCGAAGAGGTGGTGCACATACATCGAACAGACGATGAATAATACTAGCTGGAGGTATGCAGAGCAGAATCGAAGGACCTGGCATAGCTAAGCTTGGCGCGCAGGAACAACCCAGTAACATCAGTAACACTGGTATTTTTTTTCCTATTTTGGTATTTTCGTAAAATTTTGGGATTTTTCGTAAAATTACTGACAACTTTCTTTATGGTAAGTGCTTTTGAAAGAATGCTATAATTCAAGTTAATTCCAAGTTTATCCGCTTTTTATGAAAACCACTACGTGACGAAGATTTTGACTCCGTTTTGCCGTAAAATCAAAGTCAATAAACCAAAAAATTGGAAAAAAAAATACCTGAAATCCATTGCCAAAAGCATTTTCTCGAGGTGTTTCAACCTCATCATCCCGTAAATCATTCATCGGCTGAATAGCCACTGAAGCCTCATTGCTGCTGCCTACAAGATTTACTATAAATATGAGATTCTCGCAAATTTTTTATTTCTATGCACAAACATTCTTGACAGCCC